ATGTATACTTTTTCCTCCATATCACCACTGAGAAAAACAATTTTTACATCAAGTTGGTTAAGAGGCCAATCTAAATTCACTGCCAATGACAAGAAAACTATGATAGTTTTAATTTGGCAAGAGGAGTGAAAGTTTCTAATAATCTATGTCATAGGTTTGAGTAAACCCTTTAGTAACCAAGCATGCCTTGTACCTTTCAATTGTGCTGTCAGAGTAACATTTTGTTGTAAAGACACTTTTATAGCCTACAGTATTCTTTCCTTCAGGTAAAGTCATGACTCTGAGTTTTATTCTTCTCAAGAGCTTTCATCTCCTCAAAAAGAGCTTTTCCTTCTAATTTGGAACTTTTAGAGCCTCTTATACATTTTGTGGGATTTCTACGACACACAACAGAGAGGTAAACGCGACAAATGAAGAAGACAAATTTGAGTAGGACACATATTTAGACATAGGATGCTTAGTACATGATCTAACATGTTTTCTAATTACTATAACTACAACTAAATCAAGATTGAGACTCTTACGAATAGAAGAAGACTACCATGACGCTTAGGTTAGGCATAGAAGAAGACTTGACCATAATAGGATGATGATTAAGATCATCTCTAGGTTGAGATTCTTCGCAGGGCTATTGATGCATGTATTAGTGTATACAACTATTATTAGTTGTTATTGGGTTGTTATAACTCTTAGACAGTTATATATAGTTAGAAAATAAACATTCAATGTATGCTTTTGTTGAATAAAGAAAATACTCCTTCCTTATCTCTATTTTCTATTCTTTTTCTCTCTCTATATATAGTCTCCCTCTCTTCCCTATCATTGGTATCTAGAGCCTGTTGAGCATGTAATTAGTGTATACAGCTATTATTAGTTGTTATTGGGTTGTTATAACTGCTTAGACAGTTATATATAGTTAGAAAATAACCATTCAATGTATGCTTTTGTTGAATAAAGAAAATACTCCTTCCTTATCTCTCTCTCCCTCTCTCGTCTCCCTCTCTTCCCTATCAGCTATAGAATGGGTTTCTCATCTCCCCTTTTTATGATTTTTTTTTTCATAGACATGCCCTTTCCAAATATGATCATTAATATTAAACATGTTGTGTCACTTTATCAGATTTACTTTGTTGTGCCATTTCAGGTTGTTCCTCATTATTGTTGAGATCAAGAACTTGTTCATCATGACTTTGATTTGAAAATGTTGCCCCATAATCTCTGGGAACCCCATTCACAAGCGGATTGAGTTCCAATATAGATTTGTGGACATTTTCTTTTGGTGAGCTATGACAATGCTACATCACTTAAAGTAATGATACTTTCAAAAGACGAAGGGAGATGAATGCCATCAAAAAAAAAAGGTTGACTCTCAACAAAAGTAACATCCAAGGCTATAAAAGCTATGCTTTTTCTCAGAATTTAGATTGAGTTTAACTCATCCCTACAAAACCGGCTTGTAAAGTGAGGATTGCCCCCACTTATAAACACAACACAGACCTATCTCTAAACAATGTGAGACTAAATCCACCCCTCCAAAGCCAACACAATGAAGGTGTTGGGGCTGCAATTAAGGCAAGCCAAAGTGCCACAATTAAAGCAACTAGGGGCGGACTGCAATTAAGGCGGAAAGCCCAACACACCCCTTCACGCTTGGGCCTCAATGAGGCCAAAGCGTGGACGATGCAGGAAGCCCAACAATAGATCTACGATAGGCTCTGATACCATCTCACATCTTGGGTTGGGCCTAACTCATCCCTACAAAACCGATTTTTTCGGTCAAAACACTCGTACCCCTTATAAGTTGGAAAGTAACCACTAAAAACACATGTAGTCGCTTGTGGCTCAAATTTTCAAAAATGTTTATGTTCATGAACAAATGAACAAAATCAGTGCAACAAAAATCTTTTAGTGGTAAATCATCAGACACACAAGTCAGAGGAAAACTCTTTGCTGAAAAACACCTCTACCTAGAGGTGTTTTAAAATCTAAAAGTTTAGACGGCATGCAATATGAGTAAAGCTTTTGCAACCTCGCCCCAAAAATATTCTGGAACCTCATTTGCAAAGAGTAAAGCTTTTGCAACCTCAAGAAGGTGCATAGATTGGCTGAAACTGAGTCTACAGTGTTGTTTTTGCTGGAAAATGTAGTTGCGGCAACACCAGGCTCCATCGGATGACGATTATTGTGATTGAAAACTAAAACAATTGTTAATTCATTTCTGAATTCTTGGCAACTCCGCAACTTAAACAGTGGCGGGATAGATCACGAAGGATCAAACTAGCTCTAGATACCATGTTAAAGTATAGATAAAAGAATGAAAAGAGAAATGATAAGGACTTTGGATATGACAATGGTGTAATATTCTTGATAAGGATTGGATACTAAAAGATCCAACATTAATCCTAAGATATGGAAACTAGTCTAAGAGATAACCTAAGATACTCTTATGTAAATAAATAGGAAAATCATCATAAATAACCAAGTAATATGGAAACTAGTCTAAGAGATAATCTAATATACTCTAAGATTAGAAACTAATCGTAGGAGATAAACTAATATACTCTAATATAAAACAAAAGGTATCATTCAATATTTTCTTACATTCTCATACTCTTGTTTCTGCATTTATTTGTTATTCCATAACCCCAAGACCTCAAATTACCTTGACACTTGGCCTGAGTTCCACCATTAATATATTGAATTCTTGCAGTATAATTCACTTAAATCACCCGGTACTTACCATATCTTATATTGAAACCTCTTATGCATGTGGGCCCAATACACAATGTCAAGATCATCTACAAATGAATTCTTAATTAATTCAGCATATCTAATTGGCACTAAATAACTTAAACTGACATAACCCCTTTGCTATTTGCAAGTGATACAACAGATGGCACAATAAAAGATCAGGTGTTGCTGAAACAAAACACTAGGGCAAAGCAACTATGATATGAAACACATAATAATGTTTTCTGTACTTACCCATTGATAAGGCAATCAAGCAAAAGTGGATATATGTTGAATTCTTTAATAAGATGAGCAGCAACTGTGTAAGAATTGTCAAGATTCTCCAGAAGGCAAGTGACCTGCAAAAATTAGTTACAAATTTATTTACAGAAGTAGAAAGTCATAAATAGTTATCAAACCATCTCAATTTTTAAGAGCATTTTTCTTGGACTAACCACCTTTTAACTATTAAATTCCAAACCATAGCAAACACTCTCCAATAACAAAGTTGTGAAGAGAGATTTTGAAAATAAAATGTTTGTCCATTGATCATACTAGTATAAAGGATTTTAAATACTCCTCCCGTAACGGTTTATAAGCAAAAACACTCATTTTCATTGTAACAAATTATAAGCAAAAAAAGAAACATCAACTTTATTTCGGTTAAGATTTTTTATCTAAAAATGCATCTTTTCCAAAGTAAAATTAAATGCAAATTGCATTTAATTAAGTTTCTCTCATTTTTTCCATGAACAACAACCAATCAAAATTGTTTTTACATCTTCCACATAAAACATACTTCAGAAAAGTCACAAAAATTTAAACTTTCTTCATAAGTGTGAAATATTACTTTTTTTTGCTTATAAATTGTTACGGAGTAGTAAATTTGGTATATGCATAATACAATGACGTACTGTTTTGCAAGATAAGGATCTGACTGCTTGAGAATCTGACTGCAGGCCAACTTGAACGAACGCCTGAACCAAAAACATAATATCAAAGCAATAAGCATAAGTATCAGAATAAAATTATAATTTACTAGAAATCATAATAACAACTTTACTCGCCAATGTCATAGTTGAAAGTTAAGAGAGAGTGAGAGAATTAGTTGAAGCAAAAGGGGTAAATGACACAAACCATATACTGTGGAATCAAAGATGCACCAAACTTTGTTTTGAATAACCTTTCAAGGCACACAACTAGAGTAGTTTCAACGCCAGGCACATCAAATTGAGTCTGCAATACACTGCAAAGTTAAAGGAGAAAATCAACATCGAACAAAACGCTCATGACAGAAAACGTAAGAGTTTAAAAAATAAATAAATAAATAAACCCTAAATCATGCATCACATGCTTTATAAATAATCCTATTATTTCAATTAGGTGGAAAAAAATGAATCGTTAAGAGCACGGTAGAAGAATGGGTTTAATTAAACATATAGGTGAGAAAACATTGAACTAAAAGATATGATAATAGAAAGGAAAAAAGAAAGAGACTTGATTATGAGTGGGAGAGGGAATCGATTGACAAATTGTGTTGCAGAATCATCACTATGAGAACCTGAAATCAAAGTGAGTGGAGTTGTTATGTTACAGTGACAGAGAGTAAGAGCAGTAAAACGCGGAAGCTATAGACGATACCAGGGTAGTGGGCGAAATCGGTAGCTGCTTCAAGGAGTTTAGATTGTTCGTCCATGGCTGCGTATGAATGAAGTCTGAATCAGGAACCGGAGAGAAAAGAAAAAGAGAACAAATAGTACGCAAAAAAGCCTGCCACCGTTCGTGACGTGGCAATATGTATCTACCTGTAACGCTCACATTTTTTTCATTTTGATTTTTTTTTTTTTTTTTTTACTTTCTACTCTCGCGTATATCTATCTACTTTTATTAATACAAGACTGATTAAAATTTTAAAAAAATAAAATTATTTTTTAATTTTAATTATATTATTTATAAAATAATTATTAATAAAAATGATAAAATCAAAAATATGCGAATTTTCAGTTAAAAAAAAGAAATTACAATTTAAAACAAAAATTAAAAATGTATAATTAAAACAAAATTAGATTATATCAAAACCAATTTTTAGATCAAATGAAAGAAATATGGTAAAAGTTAAAGGTTTTTAACGACGTAAACAAGGGTGAATATAACAAGGGTAATATAGCGAATATGTTACTCGTCGGAGTTGAGCAATCCTTTATTCAACTCAACGGATAAGAGAGGGGTAGAGAGAAGCATCAGAGAGAAAGAGAAGGAGAAAGAGAGATATGGCAACAGTTTCATGCTCATTGCTGAACCTTCCCTCCAAAATGAGAGGCCTAACCCTAATTTCATCTTCTTCCACTTCAAATTCCGTTTCTCTAAGTTTCTCCCGCAACATTTCTCACACCAACTTTTCACAAGGTTTCTTCTATAACATTTCTCCTTTCTTCTCAATTATACCATTTTCTGAATCTCCCTCTTTTTGTTTCTCAGATAGGTTGTCGCTGAGTACGGTACAGAGGCGCGGCGTTGTAGTTTGCGAGGCGGCTCCTCAAAAGGTTGATTCCGCAATTAAGAGAGCTCGACAAGCCGAGAAACGTCGCATTTATAACAAAGCTCGTAAGTCAGAGATAAGAACACGCACCAAGAGGGTAACATAACACTAACATCACTCAAATTGCTAACATTTTCATTTAGAATAGTTGCATAGCTTTAGCAATGAAATTGATTGGGATTAATTTTGTATTCTAACTGAAAATATCTATATCATTTTTCTTTTTGTTTGTTTAGTTCCATTCACCATTAAATTATATGTTTCTTAAAATCTACTAAGCACGGCCACGATACCGGCACTGACACGTCGACACAGGAAATAATTTGAAAAGTTGAACGTAATCACAATGTTGGTGCCGGACACCAACACAAACACAGACACACTAATTTTAAGAGTTGTTGATTGGTATTACAAAACTTAAAATTAAACTGTCAGTGGATACTTTGTATCTACGACATGGTTGTAAAGAAAATGGAACTGCCTTTGAGAATGATATGTAAATTGTGCCTGAGAATGGTTTCCTTAACTTCAGGGAGGAAAAGAAACAATGCATTTGAGTGTGTAAAAATAGTGGTGAGAAAGAAGAGTGAGTAAAGAAAGAGGTAGAGAGAAAGGTGGACAATTTTCCCTTGCTATAGTTAGAGAATATTAATATTCCTCATAGTGGCCCCCCAATTTCATCTTGAAAACTGGATTTGTATTGTAGACCTCAAACCGAGGAGTTGTGTTCTTGTTTACTGTATAGAGTGATGTTAATCACAATCAACCATAAGATACAAATCATATAACTTGCCTTGGGAAATGTGGATTGATAGTATGTAAGAAAAGGGAGAGAAAGGAAGAAGAGAAACAGATGATGATGATGATATGATAAAGTATGGGATAGTGGGAGAGAAAATGGAAAGTATTATGCAGAAGTAGCATTTCCTGTTTGTTCCAAGTTGCTGTACCAAACCCTGGATCAGATTTGGTTTCCTATCAAATTTTGTTTTATAATATGATTTGGCAGGTTACTAGAGTTGACTGAATGCCATTGAGCATCTCTTTTTATTCTCTCAGAAGTCATATAGGTGTTCATTGAGCACCCATATAATGTTCATAAATAATAGAATGTTGTCTCATTGGAAAGATTGTACCATCGAAAATAAGTGGTTGTAGATTACAACAAATGGTATTCAATATCCTCTTATCCCTATCTGCTGTTTGCATAAGTCTCTTGCAAGACTTTAGGGTGGATGACATTTGTTCCTTCTTTGGGGTCATTTATTTAAGCTAAAGTATAAGCATTGCTGTCTAGCGCACATCCAAATCAATAAAAAATGTTTCTTTTTTTTAATCGGACACTTGCGGAGGAATATCCAAGAAGAGTGGATTGAAGTTTTTCATACCTTGTCCAAGGTGCATGTCTCAGACCATATAAAGAGTGTTTGAATGCAAACACCTGGAGAGGATGAAAATAGACCCTGAGGATAAGTCATGTAACTATCTTTTTCAAGGTCCCCATGAAGAAAAACATTCTTCACATCCATTTGATGAAGATGAAGGGACCAGCCTGCAGAGGCAGCAATAGAAAATATAACCAAGTAAATCGACTATAGTCATCAATAAATGTCACAATATTTATGGGAAACTAATAATAGCAGATTTCTTTATTAACACATGTGTCATACGATTGCGGCTGAATATCCAAAGTGTCCTTGCTTCATAGTTTTCGTAGTTCTAGTTTTTGACAATTTTCGTAATTAGAGATGTTATAACGGTTGGAAAAACAGAGGAGAGAAATAAGATTATATAGGAAACTTTAGTCATCAATAAATGTCACAATATTTATAATAAGTAACTAATAATAGCAGATTTCTTTATTAACACATGTGTCATATGATTGCAGCAGAATATCCAAAGTGTCCTTGCTTCATAGTTTTTGACAATTTTCGTAATTAGAGATGTTATAACGGTTGGAAAAACAGAGGAGAGAAATAAGATTATATAGGATATTAATTAGTATTATAATTTGACATTTTGATATAAAATACTATTATAATTGTTGATATTTGTAAATATATATAGTGTTAAGAATATTTGTATATAGAATAGTCCCACATCGACTATATTATGTAATTAGTTGTAATCTATTTATATATAATAATATCTCCGTAGTGCTTTTCAAAACACACGGTTAATTCATGTCTCTTTTATTTTAATAAGGTATCTAGAGCCTACTAAGAGACAATTCTTTCTTCGCCGTATTTTACCGGGTTGACTACTGTCTTCCGGTGAGAAATTTTTTTTTTTGGCAAACTGTGTTGTCACTCCGGTTTGCCTCTCACTTTTCAAAATTCTCCCGTAACCGTCTTGCCGCCGCCCCTTTTTCCCGCTGCTGCCCCAGCGTGACCGGCGGCTGATTCCGACCGATTTTCTGCCGATCTACTCACCTCTCCTCACCCATTCCAGATCCTGCCGCCGCCCTTTTTTTCCGCTGCTGCCCCAGCGCGACTGGCGGCTGATTCCGCCGTTTTTCTGCCGATCTACTCACCTCTCCTCACCCATTCCAGTGCAAACAGCCCCGATTTCACTCTGTTTTTTTTTTGTGTCATTAAGCTATTTTTTCCCGCTGCTGCCCCAGCGTGACCGGCGGCTGATTCCGACCGATTTTCTGCCGATCTACTCACCTCTCCTCACCCATTCCAGATCCTGCCGCCGCCCTTTTTTTCCGCTGCTGCCCCAGCGCGACTGGCGGCTGATTCCGCCGTTTTTCTGCCGATCTACTCACCTCTCCTCACCCATTCCAGTGCAAACAGCCCCGATTTCACTCTGTTTTTTTTTGTGTCATTAAGCTATGGGAGACGCTGATTCTGTCCCGTTTACTAAAGTTCCTCTTATCCCATGTGAAATATCCCATGTGAAAAACTGACCGGATCAGCAAACTATAACATATGGACTCGTGCTGTCGATATGTGGTTTCGTGGTCAGGGATTTGAAGATCACCTAACCACATAATTGACTAATGTTGCCTCCGACAAACTTGCTAAATGGAAGAAAACAGATGCCTCTCTCCTTACAGTGTTATGGTTCTCCATAGCACCTAACCTCCAAGCACAGTATCAAGCCTTCTCCACTTGCTATGAAGTTTGGGAAAAGGCCAAGAAAGTCTTCTCCAACGACGTTCATTGTCTATACAGTGTCATCCTCAAACTCGACACACTAAAGATGGAAAATATGGATATGCAAACCTATCTGAGTAAACTTGATGCCTTGAAAGCAAGTTACGCAACCCTCATGTCGTACGGAAAAGACGCAACAGCTCATGCCGAATAACAGAGTAAATTTTTCATGGTGATGGCACTTAAAGGATTACCATCCGAACTCGACTCCGTTCGTAACCAGATTTTATCAGGTACTACTGTTCCTAACTATGATGCAGTTAGTGAACAACTGTTGCGCTTGGCTACACCTCATGCGTTTGGTCCGGTTTCCCCTCCATCTACTGTTGCTACACCAGGTGACACTGCTGCCCTCGCATCTCTTGGCAACAATCAGAGTCCTCCTCGAGGAGGGTCATCCAACTCCAAACCTTGTCCCAAGTGTAACCATTGTAACCGGCTTGGACATACTATCGACCGTTGTTGGAAGCTACATGGCAAACCCCCACGCCAAGTAAATGCAGCTTAAAGTGATAACTCAGAAATTATGCAGACTTCACCTTCTATTCAGAACCCTACGCCAAGCTACGAAGATTTTCTCAGATGGTGTCAGACTAATCAGATCTCTGGTTCCACTACTTCGGTTGCACACACTGGTAATTCATCTGTTTGCTTCTCTCGATCATCTCCCCTTGGTCCTTGGGTCCTTGATTCTGGTGCGTCTGATCAGGTTACTGGTAATAAAAGTCTTTTTTCTTCCCTCTCTACCTCTGGTTTCTTGCCTATTATAACTGCCGCAAATGGTTCTCAAATCCGATCCCAAGGGATTGGTACTGTTCAAATTTTACCATCTCTCTCTGTTACTTCTGTCCTTTATGTACCTAATTGCCCATTTAATTTACTGTCAGTCAGTCGTTTAACTCGTTCCCTTAATTGTTCTATCACCTTTACTAACAGTAATGTTACTCTGCATGATCGGAGTTCGGGACAGACGATTGGCGTCGGATGTGAGTCTCAAGGCCTCTATTACTTCTCTACGTCATCTACCACATGCTCCACAACAGATTCTCCACTCATTATACATGCGCAGTTAGGTCATCCAGGTCTTCCCAAGTTACAAAAGTTAGTGCCCAGTTTATCTAAATTATCCACTTTACATTGTGAGTCTTGTTAGTTAGGGAAACATACTCGTAGTCACTTTTCCGATCGAGTCAATAAACGGGCTGCGTCCCCTTTTGCTTTAGTTCACTCCGATGTTTGGGGTCCCTCGCGTACCGTGTCTACTTTTCAGTCTAGGTATTTTGTAACCTTTATTGATGACTTTTCACGTTGCACATGGCTATTTTTAATGAAGAACAGGTCTGAATTGTTTTCTATTTTTGAACAATGTTATCGAGAAATAAGAACCCAATTTGGTTTATCTATTCGTACCCTAAGAAGTGACGGTGCATGTGAATATGTATCCCAACAATTTCAAACATTTATGTCATCCAATGGTATTTTGCACCAAACATCTTGCTCTCATACACCCCAACAAAACGGGGTAGCCGAACGCAAAAATCGGCACCTCGTAGAAACCACTCGGACACTACTTCTCCATGGTAATATTCCTCTCCGGTTTTGGGGAGATGCAGTGCTCACAGCATGTTACCTCATAAATCGCATGCCCTCGTATGTCCTTAATAATAAAATCCCTCATTCAATCCTGTTTCCAAACTCTCCACTCCACCCAATTCCTCCTCGAGTCTTCGGGTCAACGTGTTTTGTACACAATCTCTCCCCTGGTCTTGATAAACTATCAACTCGATCACTAAAGTGTGTCTTTCTTGGCTATCATCGATCTCAAAAAGGTTATCGTTGCTACTTACATACTCTACAACGATACCTCGTATCCGCCGATGTTACCTTCTTCGAGTCTGTTCCATATTTCGAATCCAGCCAAGTAACTACAAAACCTCTACGGGAAAGTATTCTCACACCTCTTTCGTAAGTCCCATCTGTCATTATCCCCTATCATTCTAGGGAACCTGACCCACTAGTTACCCCTACGGTTGACCCCCCCACTCCTCGCCCACTTCAAACATATCAGCGTCGTCACCCAAAGTCTGTCGTACCTGTCCCTGAAGTTGTACCTGTACCTGAAGTTGTATCTGTCCCTGAAGTCGTACCTGTTCCTGAAGTTGTACCTACCCCTAAGGTCACTACGGACTCTCCTCCGACGCTCTCGCCATCACCGGATTCGATCCTGCAACCTGAGTCTGATCTTCCGATTGCCCTTCGAAAAGGTATACGTCAAACACGAAATCCTTCTCCACATTATATTGATTTATGTTATCATCGTCTTTCCCCTTTGCAGTATACTTGTTTGTCTTCTTTGTCTTCTATTTCTATTCCTAAAACTCCAAGTGAAGCATTATCTCACCCTGAGTGGAGGCAAGCAATGATGGATGAAATGTGTGCTCTTCAAAGCAGTGGTACCTGGGAACTGGTTCCTCTACCCCATGGAAAATCTTTAGTAGGTTGTCGTTGGCTTTATACAGTGAAGGTTGGTCCAGATGGCAAGATTGATCGATTTAAAGCTCGCCTGGTAGTCAAAGGATACACTCAAATTTTTGGGTTGGATTATGGTGATACCTTTTCGCCTGTAGCCAAGATGACATCTGTTAGACTTCTTCTAGCCATTCGACATTGGTCTCTTCATCAACTTGACATCAAAAATGCATTCTTACATGGTGATCTTGAAGAGGAAGTATATATGGAGCAACCACCTGGGTTTGTTGCTTAGGGGGAGTCATCGAATATGGTTTGTAGGCTACACAGGTCTCTTTATGGTCTTAAGCAATCTCCGAGAGCTTGGGTTGGCAGATTCAGCACTGTAGTACAACAATTTGGTATGATCCGTAGTGAAGCTGACCATTCTGTTTTTTATCGTCACTCACCCCAAGGGTGTATTTATCTTATTGTGTATGTAGATGACATTGTCATAACTGGTAGTGATCAGTAGGGAATACTCCAGTTGAAACAACATCTCTCGAAACAATTTCAGATAAAAGATCTTGGTAAACTCCGTTATTTCTTGGGTATTGAAGTAGCCCAATCTAAAGATGGTTTGGTGATTTCTCAGCGGAAATATGCTATGGATATTTTGGAAGAAACAGGTCTGTTAAATGCTAAACTAGCCGATACTCCTATGGATCCAAGTGTTAAACTACTACCCAATCAGGGGAGCCTCTATCTGACTCAGGAAGGTATAGGAGATTGGTTGGAAAGTTGAATTATCTCACGGTTACTCGTCCGGACATTTCTTTTGCAGTCAGTGTGGTAAGCCCGTTCTTAAATTCCCCTTGTCAGGAACACATGGATGCTGTTATCCGGATTTTGAAATACATCAAATGTGCTCCAGGAAAAGGTCTTGTATATGAGGATAAAAGACATACCCAGATAATTGGATACTCTGATGCTGATTGGGCAAGGTCACCCATTGATAGACGATCCACCTCTGGGTATTGTGTACTTGTTGGAGGAAACCTTATATCTTGGAAAAGTAAGAAACAAAATGTAGTTGCAAGATCAAGTGCCGAGGTAGAGTATAGGGCGATGGCAATGACAACATGTGAACTTATTTGGTTAAAACAGTTGCTCAAGGAACTTCAAATTGAAGAAGCAAGACCAATGACACTTATTTGTGATAATCAAGCTGCATTGCACATTGCTTCAAATCCAGTCTTCCATGAGAGGACCAAACATATTGAGATAGACTGTCACTTTGTCAGAGAGAAGATCGAGTCAGGCGACATCGTCACAAGCATTGTCAACTCTAATGATCAATTGACAGATGTGTTTACAAAATTCCTACGAAACCCCAGAACTAACTATATATGTAACAAGCTTGGTGTATTTGACTTATATGCTCAAGCTTGAGGGGGAGTGTTGATATTTGTAAATATATATATAGTGTTAAGAATATTTGTATATAGAATAGTTCCACATCGACTATATTATGTAATTAGTTGTAATCTATTTATATATAATAATGTCTCCGTAGTGCTTTTCAAAACACACGGTTTATTTATGTCTCTTAGTCTCTTGTATTTTAACAATAATAATGCTCTTAGTATATGCTGTTTTTCTAAGTCAAATTGTTATACAATTAATACAAAATTAGTCCACTTTTAACATAATAAGACTCCATAGACAATATGAATCCTAACATTGTAGTTGATGTTATAATATCATTGCAAGTGTTACACTGATTATACTTATCAAAACTCAAGTTAACATGCATTGTGATTCAAAAGACAACTCCTTATTATCCATACAACTCACCCAATTTGTAGTTTCATTTACAGGAGCAGTTTTTTTTATTAACTTATATTAATGGTCTGCAGGTTTTGGAAACACTAGATTTGCTCAAAAAGAAATCTGATGCTCAACGGGAAGAAATCCTCTCAATTGAGAAGATGATTGGAGAGACATACTCTGTAATTGACAAAGCAGTGAAAGTGGGCACATTGCATAGAAACACCGGAGCAAATCGCAAGTCTCGGCTTGCCAGAAGAAAGAGGGCAATAGAAATTCATCATGGTTGGTATACTCCTGTCCCTCAAGAAAGTGCCTGAAACAATCCTTGTTAGTTCTTTTTTATGTACCAAAGTGAGAACTTAAGACATATTTTTCTACTGCTCAAATCTTGTATTTTAGTTTTTATTTTTTACTTCAGTTCAAATCGAGTGTACTATCATCATGTAGAGGCTTCATTTAATGTTAACAGCATCTTCGAAATTAGCCATTGTTGTATTCTTCCTTTATTGTTATATTGCGTAACACGCCTCCTTAATTTAATAATAGTTGCTCTGTGATTTAAATTTGATTGTTATTGTAATCTTCTTCATGATTGTAGCTTCCCAAATAAGTCATGCCATAAGCACACTCCCTCTTGAGCTACATTTGCAAATAGGGTATCATAACATTGCCTACCCCTGTAGCCGGCCGGCCCTGTCACCGGCATCAAGGATCTCACATGTGCCACACATTCAAACCTAACAAATAATCACCAAGTCTTCATCTTAAGTTACCTGCACTGTTCCATGATTATTATATTTTAACACTTAGTAGGATCTTTGAAAAGGATTATATCCATTTCATTAAGGCGCAAAATTAGCAATACCTTGAAGCACTCAAAGAACTTGACATAAATGTATTGGTGCACGGTGAGCTAAGTTGTGGAGCTCAACTGTCATTTGTTATTTGAGTTATTTTATGATGACATCTTTCTTTCTTGTGTGAAAAATGGGTTGAAACTGTTATAATGTATATTTAGTTAAAAAAATTGCCATTGTTGAGTAGTTTTGGACAACAATTATTTGTATTTACTTTTACTTCAAATTGGTGGGAGTAATCCCAAGTATATTTACGGATGGGGATTACTGTGTTTTTTGAGGAAGTATACTTCTCAAGTTACTTAGGGGAGTGGGAAGCTGGCAACTGGTCCTATCTAAGAGATATCACCCCAAAAATGCAAATGTACCTTCTGACTAGTGTTCAATTTAAATGGTCATTTAGCAGGATTTTGATTTCATTTAATGTTAGTATTAATTTATATTTTTTAAGCCGTAAATTTATAAGTATCAACAATTATATATATTACTCTATTAAGAAAAAAAAATTAGAAAAAAAGAACTTGTTGTCCATGGAACAAACAAACATTTAAAATTTTTTATCTCATACCACATCATTTATTTTCTTACCCCATCATATTTTTCTTATTAAAGTATCCTTATATAAATAATTTATTAAAAATTAAAAAATATTATAAAAAGTAAAATTTATTAAAAGTTAAAAAATATTATAAAAAGTGATTACTGGAACTATTTTTTCAATGTGTTTTGATACACAAATAAACTACTGAAACTCTTTTGTAAAGGCGGTACATAAAATAAAAATTAAAAAATGTTTAAAAAGTAACTATTGCACCTGCATCAGAAGAAACTACTGCATCTGAAGATAATCCTTTGGCCATGACTCTGGTAGAACTTACTTCTGACTCCAATGCTCCAGACTCTACAGACCCTATGGAAATTGACTTTGTTCAAGCTCCAGAAAATGTTCAACCTTCATCCTCTGAGATTAAGAAAGAACATCCAGATTTTGAGGATAAAATTGCTGCTCTGGAAGCTGGTCATTCAGAGATCAAGTCTTGGATGGCCAAACAGGATAAGAAATCTGAAGACATGACAGAGTGGATGTCAAAGCAGGATCAGAAAAATGAAACAATGGCTAAGTGGATGTCAAAGCAAGAGCAATCCTCCTCTGAGATCACGGATCTATTGAAGATGCTTTTGTCAAAACACTCTTAGATTTTCATTTTTTTTCATTCTGATGTTTTTGCATCTGATGTTTGCTTATGTACTTTTTGATATATCTTCTGATGCATGTACTATTGATCTGAACTCATTGAATGAATCAAAGTTTTCTCCACTAAATTATCTCATTTGCTGTTTCCTTTTATTTGTCTTTTTAAAGTTTTTACTTTTTGCTTATGACAAAAAAGGGGGAGAAAATATAGATCTGAACTGTTTAATTTAACTTCACCAGAATGAAACTTCAGACATATCTATACTATCTAACATTTAATCTGAGATTTCAGAACATTTGATAAGTACACTCTATAAAAGAAACTCTGAGTCTCTCAGATCATTTGACTATTATCAAACTCTGAATCTGATATTTGCAAGACATTCTGGATTTCAAATGCTAAAAGAATAATCAAGATCTAACTCTGAAAATTACTCAAGACAAAAGGGAAGTTTCTATTCCTTATCTGTACTTAACTCAGGGGGAGATTCATCATCTCAGGGGGAGTTATAATTTTAATATTTTCAATTAAACAAAATTTCTGATGTTTTTGTCATCATCAAAAAGGGGGAGATTGTTAGAACACATATTGGTTCTTAATAATATCTCTATATTTTGATGATAACTAATATGAAATTTTGTATTTAAAAATTATATACTCTAAAATTTGCTTGAGAATTTTTACTGCAGATAGTAAAGGAATTAACACTCCAGAAGCAAATCAGAATTTAACACAAGAAATTAGCTAGACTCTGAAGCGTCAGATGCGCTCATTAGAAGATTCTGATTGCTGCCAACAGAAGATTCTGAGCGTAGCCTCCAGAAGATTCTGAAGCAGAAGCTCCAGAAGGATCTAAAGCAGAAGCTCCAGAAGAATCTGAAGCAAGTCAGAAGCATCTGAAGCAAAGAAGAATTTTGTATGAAGAGTTTTTCAAAGCATAATTTCTACAGAAGATTCTGAAAGTACTAAAGTTGCCAGTATTGAAGTTCTGTCTCAAATATGCTCTGATCTTAAACACGCTGAAAGCACACCTGCTGCAGAAGACTCTGATTCAGCAAAGCTTTGATCATCATCAGAAGACTCTGACCCAATTAGACTCTAATGAATTTGCTGAAAACTGAAGAAGAAATATTCAAAGAATATATCCGTTGGAGTGAACCAAACGTCTCTTTCCTTATTTATGCTAGACACAAGAACACAGACAAAAAGGATTTTTCTGTGCTTTCTTCTTCTAGGAAAGGTCACTTGATGTGAAGACAAAAAGGCTCAGACCTTTTGGACACTCTTCTCAACGTGAAGCTCACCTTGGATCAGCTGCCTATAAAAGCAAGACTCCACCAAATTCTTCGGTTGACGTTTTATTGAAAAGAAATTAAAACATTCAAGCTCTCATACTTTCATATTCATTCTAAGAATTTATTTCATTGTTCTTAAACTTAAGAGAAATATCACAGTTGTGATAATAGCTTTTTAGAAGCATTCTTACTATTGTAATAGTTTTACATTGATTGTAAAAGATTTCCTTAAGAGGATCCAGTTGGGATCAGTAGCTCTTGAGAAGACTAAGAACAGTTGTTCTTAGGTGTTACTATTGTAATTTGTTTGATTAAATAGTGGATTAAGTCCTTCATTGAGAAAGGCAAATCACTCTAGGAATGGTGGAATGGAGTAGTTGAGTTCAACGAACCAGGATAAAAATACTTGAGTTTTACTTCTAAGTTTTAATCTTTCATACTTATTCAACCCCCCCTTCTAAGTATTATCTCACCTTCACGTAGTAATTGTTAAACCCGATCAGAAATGTCGAGAATACCAAGTTCTCGACGGATATGAAAGAAGGGCTCATTGGCTAGCGGCTTTGTGAAAATGTCCGCTAGTTGGTTTTTAGTATCAATGTGTTCAAAGACAACGCCATCCATCTCTACATGGTCCCTAAGAAAATGGTGTCGAATTTCTATGTGTTTGGTACGCGAATGTAACACCGGATTTTTGGTAAGATTTATAGCACTGGTGTTGTCACAAAATATTGGAACACGTTCTAGCTTCAAATTGAAGTCCAATAGTTGTTGTTTAAGCCATAGGACTTGCGCACAACAACTACCGGCGGCTACGTATTCCGCTTCGGCGGTTGACTGAGCAACAGCCACTTGTTTCTTGCTGTGCCAACTGACCAAGGAATTTGAAAATAAGTGACACGTACCACTGGTGCTTTTCCTATCCGATTTGCAACCGGCAAAATCGGAATCGGAGAAACCTACCAATGAACAATCATTACCCTTAGAATACCACAATCCATACTTTGGAGTACCAGATAGGTATCGAAGTATGCGTTTGACAGATTTTAGGTGGGATTCCTTAGGACATGATTGGTATCTGGCGCACATACACACGCTAAACATAATGTCGGAACGCGAAGCAGTAAGATAGAGAAGCGAGCCAATCATACCTCTGTACCTTTTTACCTCAACATCTTTACCACTTTCATCTTTACTCATATTTGCACATGTTGGCATAGGGGTGTCTATGGCCTTTGAATTTGCCATGTCAAATCTCTTGAGAAGATCCAAACAATTTTTTTTTTGGCTCACGAATGTTCCTTCCTTCAGTTGCTTGATTTGTAAACCGAGAAAATATGTGAATTCACCCATCATACTCATCTCGAATTCACCCTGCATAAGCTTAGCAAACTCTCTTACGAGATTCATGTTAGTGGATCCAAATATGATATCGTCAACATAAATTTGTACAAGAATTAAGTGTTTTACTTGACGTTTAATGAAGAGAGTAGTATCAACCTTTCCTCTTGAGTAGCCTTGATCAAGTAAGAATTTGCTTAGTCTCTCATACCAAGCTCTAGGAGCTTGTTTGAGACCGTACAAAGCTCTTTTCAGTTTATAGACATGATCGGGATACTCATGAGACTCAAAACCAGGTGGTTGAGCAACATAGACTTCTTCATTTATGAACCCGTTAAGGAACGCACTTTTGACGTCCATTTGAAATAACTTAAAATCTTTCGCACAAGCGAAAGCAAGTAGAAGGCGTATAGCCTCGAGTCGGGCAACCGGCGCATAAGTTTCCTCATAGTCGATGCCTTCCTCTTGGTTATACCTTTGCGCGACTAAACGCGCTTTGTTGCGAGTTATTACTCTGTTCTCGTCCAGTTTATTTCTAAACACCCATCGGGTGCCGATTACTCGATGACCTCGTAGAGGAGGGACAAGGTCCCAAACCTCATTTCTAGTGAACTGATTCAGTTCCTCC